CGTTTTAGCTATTCCGTGCATCTTAAAACACCTTAACTAATCGGGTCAAGAGTGGAATTTGTTTTCCAGAGAATGCATCTTCAATTACTGTATATAATGGGAGTCAGTTATTACTATGCTAGTATAGTTATTATAGATGTTAGCCGTGTGTTTCATATTCACTTTCAAATCTCGTCCAATTTTCTTTTAAGTACAGGTAGAAAATTATTACTGTACCGTATGTATTTCACTTAGTACTGTATGTTTATTATTGTATAAACCAATTTTTTGGTGGCATTTTAAGACATTTTGTTTTATTTTATTCTTAGGAATATATCTCAGGCTTTATACAGTTAATGGGAGTCTAGGATGTGTGCATCATTTTATGAAAATTTGACGCAAGATACTTTTCAGGAATGTAACTATCTCGTACATTGGGGCCTGCCCGTACAGTACTTAGATAGTCCCTGAACACTACTGTATGCAAAAATATTTCAGTGTGATTTCATTTAATTCTCTTACGGCTTGCAACAAATATTTTTGGTTTGCCTAATTAAAACACTATTGACTGTCAGATAATTACTATAAGTGTAAGAGATGGACGGATCTTCATACTGTGTCACACCCAAATTAGTGACTCATGATTTTGTGTGACATTCATGTAAACTGTAGCTGGAAGAATTAATACTGAGGAGGTGGATGGTCCTTTTCAAATGCTGCAGAGTAACATTTAGTAGACCAATGTGAATTTATGTTGCAGGATTTAACCTACAGCAAAGGCTAAAAAATCCATATCGCTCAAAAATTAGTAATGTTGATTTAAAATGTGCACCATCCATAATGAGAGGGAACACTAAAAATAAGATTTGAAAAATAACAGGAGGGAAGTTTTTAGGATTGCAAAACAAATTAATTTTTTCCAAGTCACTAGGTCAAGAAATTTTCAAGATTAAAACTTTCTGACCTTGGATCCTCTGTCAGGCATGTTTAAGAGGACCCTTACAATCAAAGTAAAAAAAAAAAAAAGAAGAATTAGCACTGCTCTTTATTTAAATTATGTATAAGATTCAAAGATGATTTAGAGAGTTTAGTTGCTCTAAACTGTGTGCTCCCACCACCCACTCAGTTATTGTATCATACTGATTGCTGTGAGAGAAAATTCAAAGTTATTTATATTTGAGAAGTTCTACCATGACAATGGTGTCAAACCTAAGACCAAGCTATAGAGATGCTTGCACTAGTCCAAAAAAGAAGCATATTACTTATGCAAAAAAACAGAAATATTGTAAAAGTATTACAAAAACTAGACAATGATGTTTCAGCACACTAACTTGCTGAACATGTTGTTGCAAATAACTACAGTACTTATGATAATTGGTAGTATGACAAAATTTAGAAATTCTGTGTTGAGTGAAATAAGTGTATGGGCAATCAAATCATTGCACTGAAGTAGATCGGCAAAGCTTGGCGCAGTGGTGTATGAGTGGTTTAACCAATGGAGAAGACAAGTGCTTATTTCTGGCTCCTCTTTGTGGAAAAAAGCCAGGCTGCATCACCAGAATTAGAAAATTCCTCTTAATAAAATACGTACATTAAAAATAAAATATTTATGTATCCTTGCTTTTTTGTGTATTTTTATATTACATACAAATAACATTTAAAATCCATTTTTATGCAAAACCACAATCTCACCTACACTGCTGAAAGGTACAGTACTGTACTGTACATAACTTTCAGAAATCTGCACACTACTGTACATAACTTTCAGAAATCTGCACACCACTTGGTCCTAAGTTGTTCAGATTTTTGAACCATGACCATACATGTGCTCAGTGTCTGTGAGACACTATTACCACACCTGTGCAATAATGCTTTTCAGGTATATGTAGATGATTACTACGTGTTAACATTAAATATAAGTCACTGACCCATTTGTGCTATAGGATGAAAATTACACTTAGCTCCATTACAAACATCATTGCCTGTAGGATTATACAATTGTATATAATAGGTGGCTATAATTCAATTAACACAGGGTCCCAGCCGCGCACCGTGCCAACCCAAAGGGAAATTCTCTCACTGCCTGGAGTAGCAGTGTGTGCTAGGCATGCTCTGGAGTACCTACACAGGAAGTCCCCCAAGTTCGCAGATTTTTATTTTGCGGTCCTCTTATTATTCGCGGATGACACCCTGGATGTACCCAAGAATGTCTGTGGGTCTCTTGCCGGCATTTTTGCGGCTTGGACAGGGAGCCATTCGTTCTAGAGACAGTAATTTCCTTTACCTGCATTGTAAATATGTGTGTGTGTGTGTAGACACAAACACACAAAACACATAAATAAATAATAATTGGAAAATCCTCTCAAATAATCAGAAATAAATTTATTAAAAATGTGACAGTCTACCCTCAAGTCCTGTGTACCGCCGGCAAGGCTGTGGGCTCGTAACACTTCTTGCCCGCGGTGCCCACCGTTTCTCTGTGGCTGTTGGTCACACTAGAATAACCCGTTATAGTGCATCCTTCTTTCCTCACACAGCCAAACTGCGGAATGCTCTGTCTCCTCCTGTGTTTCCATACTCCTACAATCTGTCTCGCTTTAAAAAGCTGGTTTCCGGCATCTTCGTGGTGTAGATTAATATAACCTTTCACTTTTCTATTTTTAATTTCTTTCTATTCTTATTTTTTCGCCCCTAGGCCCCGTTATATATATATATATATATATATATATATATATATATATATATATATATATATATATATATATATATATATATATATATATATATATATATAAATATATTCTTTTAGTTTAATTCCCTAAATGTCGCGAGGGGGGGGACCACTAGGGATGGAGGTGAGAAGGGAAACGCCAATAGCGTTTTACTACATGCTCTCCCCTACAATATCTTCTGGAAACAAAAGGCCTGTTTGAAAGAAAGCACATTTTGTCCAAAGTGGCCATTTTATTACAACACAATGATTATGACATATTGTACCAGATGTTATTCATTCGTTCATACCTTATTTTTATTTTACTTTATCCTCTTTCCACTTGAACGGTCGGTCACGTCTCCGTTACACAAGACTTCGACTGGGCAAATACTGGCCAAGTCTCATCTTAAAAGCTGGCCAATTACGCATTGTCCTGACGTGTGGTAAGTCAGTTACAGTTAGTCAGTCAAAGATTTTCAGATATGACTTTCGGCTAAAAAATCTATGGAGCGGTTGAGATTTTCAAGACTATGTTGACTTAAGTGTGTGTGTGTTCCAGTTGCTCGTGAGTATGCTTGCTACACCTCCCATGTGTATTCGTTTAATTCCTTCATTTACATAAATAGTTTTTACCAGCAGTACAACAAATACACCCACAATATCATCTCATTTACACCAATACATTAGTTTTCGCCGTCAACACAAACATTAATATCAAAGTCATCACCAACTGCACCGTGAGCGGACTGAGTATTGAGTACGTCCTGAACAGTGAATTCTGACCCACGTTTTCTTCCCACATCAGTGAGTGTACCTGTCACGTCATAGATTTCCTCCTCCCTCTGGATAAGGAAACGCACTTTCTTGTTGTCTCTTAAGATCCTGGTGCAATATTATACTCGAGCAAGAAATTATTTTTTTTACGGTGTTTTGTATAATATTCCTTAGCGCGCTTAAACAGTAACCGTTTTTGGTTTATCAACAGTACTAAGACTACCTGTTGCGTTAAATCGTTTTGACCTGTCTTACGAACCGTAGCTGTATACCAACTAATACAGGATTAATTTCTGGTATCTCATTTCTGTAACACCCCAATTACCAACAATATTGGTTGTTCAAAGTGGGGAGGGTGTAGTGGATTCCTCCCCTACAAACGCTTGTCTCTGAGTAGCCGATCCAGCGAATTCCCCAGTGTATGCCTGGTGGTCTAGGTCAACCAGCGCCGCCTTACATGACGGAGGTTAACTATTAAGCCACGCCTACCTCCGCTATATAAGACCTGACCTCGTGGTGACCTACCTCTCTCTTTCTACCAACACCAACCAGCAAGCAACACCTCCTCCTCCTCCTGCCTGGCGGCCCTCGCTCCCGCCGGCGAGCATGGTCCTCCTCTGAGCACCCTCACCAACCAGCTCTCTCTACATCACGCTTGTAACCACGCTGCCACTTCCCAGCACCAAGCTGCATTGTACATTCAATACAACATGTATACAGAGAGCACATTGTGAGTTTCCTTTCTCCATCCCATCCTGAGTGTGAACCCAACAACCCGTACCCCACAAGGGCTTTGAAGTGGAGGGAAAATGTGGGGGTTAAATAATAAAAAGAACACCAAACAAACCTAACCTAACCTCTGCCACGACTTTTCAGCAGCACAGGCAGGGTAGGGCACCACACTGACCAGCACAAACACCAGAACAAAATTGCCCCACCTTCACAGGAGAGATTGGGACCCTGAGGCCTACACGTGCTCCACTTCTTACCTGTACATGCAGTAAACCATCCTAGACTGACCAACTCACAGGATATGCCCTCTAAAGGGTTAAAGAAAAATAGCTTTATTGAAACTATATATCTGAAACCATACTTGGTCTAATTCTTGTAATTTGTGTTATATTTTGTGGTGTGACTTAATTGGCATAGCGTTTGATATTTCATGGAGGTTGAAATTTCATGTGACAACCTGGATGTATAATTATGGTAACAATGAATTAAAGTTTTCGGACTATTGTGAGAAGGTGAATAAAGCAACTAAGCTAATGAGTAGGTCTTATAAGAAGGTCATTCATTTACCCTTCATCTGTAGAAAAACATCTGAATAATATCCCCAGAACTTAGTGAAATACTAAACACATGGCACATAGTTGAATTTCAATAAATTATCTAACAATGCAATGTCATCAAATATTAACATAAGCTACTTTAAACAGAATACCAACACCGGATACTAGCTCCACCTAGCCATCAGCCGCACAGTTCACTAATACTCTGCCAGTTAGTAATATACAGTACAGCTCAGTTGCCCCTCCTTGTTCACCCCTTCACCTTCTAGTCTTGGCAAACGACAGCCAGTAACCGGGACAACATGGCTGCTGTGTTGGGTAATATTAGTCATAAATTGGTCTCTTCTGCTGTCTCGTTAGGCTCAAAATGCCTGCTGAAGAATACTGGCTCTCTTTATTTTGCCAAGTAAGTGAAAAGTGGAATTACTGTCTTGTTTAAGTGTGTATTATGATGTGCTGTGGTGTTGACGATCAGCTGATGAATGAAAACAAACCGACTGATGGAATTTGTTTTAATTTTTATTAGTTAGGTTAATGGAAGTAATATGTTTACACTACTTTTGAGGCCTTTTTACTGTTAATCTATTTTTATTTGCCACAACTAAGCATTACTCGTCATAATTGGAACGTAGAAAATAAGGTATGTTTCAACTTCAGTCCGGTAAATACTCACGACACTAAACTAGCAGGTTCTTGAGTAGTATTAGTATATAAAATCAACTTAAATTTCCATTGATTCAGCTATACCTGGTAATGGTGGAGGAGACGGCTAACACCAGAAGCAGTTCAATTTTGTTAATTTTTTCACAAACGGTTGGTTGGATAATAGTAAGTAATACAAAATATATGAAAATGCTCAGAACCTGACCTAACCAACCAGATCTACCTAACCTTGCCTAACCTACCAAACCTACCTAAATTCTTAACTTACTTTAATATGTACCAATGAAAGTACTATTCTTCAAGCCGAGTTGTGTAATTTTACATCTATTGTGGACGTAAGAGTACCATCAGTTGTTGCACTGAAACAAATATCTCATGTTCACTGTCAGTTCGGTCACATTTTGAACACTTGCGCGTCCTGCCAACTACTCCATGTTGACGATGAACTCTTGCAGACGGTCTTCATCCTCCACAACTACAGATAACTTGTGATATGATACTGAACAGGATGCCATAACTACACAGTTGAAAAACAAGATAGCTAGCTTCTCTTTGTGGAAGAACAAGAGGCTGTGGATATTTGTCCGGTTGTCGGTTAGGTAGCTTTGTAGAAACATTTAAAAACTATTAAGTAGATAAATGAAAACAAGAATGCACAGAACTAATTAGAACTTGAACTAACCAAAAGTTACCTACCTAACTAATCTAATTTACCAGAAAATCTTTTTAAAACATACCTAACGACACTTAATGTTAAGTTTAGTTTAACAAATTTATTGACAAAGCTTGGAGTACAGTTTGCCTGTTCTGAGTAATTCAGTCAGGTCTTGACACTGAGGGTGGTATCACTTCTCACTGCCATGCAGGACAGAGGTTCATACACAAAGGAATAGATCATATTCATTAACAGAATATATAGGTCAGATTCATGTGGATTGATGTCGCTGTTCACTGCCATGCAGGACAGAGGTTTGTACACAAAGCAATACATCATTTTCATTAGCAGTATATATAGGTCAGAGTCATGTGGGTGATACAGTATCACTGTTCGTTTCCTTTTATATATTTAATAAATTATAATTAACGTTTCCACAGAGTTTCATCCAAGTCTATTGACTCTTCCTGGTGTTTTTCTAAAAACCCTACCTAATCGACAACTGGACAAATATCCACAATGAAAACAATGTTTCTGGTACAGCACAAACAATAAGATTATACTCTAGAATGGGGGTGTGTGCTGACCAGCAGCTTTATAAAATGGTAATACTTTGACAGTTGCACGTTTTAACCAGCAAGGTAAATGCTCTCATACCGCCCTTAACACCAACTTTAGGAAATTTATCAATAGAAGATAAAAGTTTTCTTACCTTTAGAAACTGACCAAAAATTTGGCTTCCAAATTTTATATAAATTAGCCTTTTCAGTGAAACTTAGTGCCAATTTTTACATTCCAGTGTGTTATGAAAACTTTTTATTCACATAATTTACTGGGTAATTACTGTACAAATGATCTCAATTTTAAATACTCATTACTAACAAACTAGCAACAAAGTAACTGGAGCAATCTTTTTTCTCTTTTATTCTCTTCACCACTGATCGGCTCGTTCTACCAATGCCTGTAGCTGGAAAATTTGAAGGGAAGGATACACGAGGCCGTTAGAAAATGTACTGTATGCAGGGTAATAGAAATGCAACTTTGATACCTTCTGAAGGAGCTCATATTGAACTAATGTAGCCCCAAAATAAAACTATACTTTGCTTTTTGTTGTAGCTTTTATAGTTTTTCATATGAAATCTTTAGAATCTGGAAAATAATATGTAATTGCCCAGTGTTTTTTAATTAACCTTACATTTTCTCTCTTCAATGTCCTGCCTACTAATGGACTTAAGATTGCTAGATATAAAGGATGTACAGTTTATGGTTTAATGAACACTAATTGTTTTCCACAAAAGTGACAAGAAATAAGTTCATGGGGTATATACAGTTGGACACTTGTAAGTGCAGTAAGTACTGTATATATATAAAGATGGAAAGGCAAGACTGGGTAATAATATGTGTGAAGGGTGAATCTGCCTTGTTCGAGGAAGAGCTGTAGTATCTTCTTGTGTAGTGTAAAGACCATATGAAATGAAAATTTACCATCATTAAAATTTAATCTGAGCAAGCCTATTAACTGAAACTATGTATTTCAGCTCGACTAGAGGTGGTGCCAAGTGGTATCCTGATGCAGAATGGATAAAGCAATTTGAAGGACCTGTAATGGTGCCCTTTGAGGGTCAGAGTATGGATTTACCGTCATGGAATTCCAAGTTAGCGCCTGTGGAAAAAAAAGTCCGCAATGTCTCTCTCAACTTTGGCCCTCAGCATCCAGCAGCCCATGGTGTGCTGCGTCTGGTGCTGGAATTAGATGGTGAGGTGAGTTTTCTTTACTACATACTGCTCCTCTTTCAGTTTAACACTTCAATAAGCACACCACCACCCCCAGCTGTGAATTCAAATGAACGAACTGAGTGGCAGGAGTGATTACTTTAAGGAAGGGCAGTTAGGGCTCACCACAACGGGTGGGGAGTGGTGCAGGCTGGGGGAAGATATAGGAGGGAGGTGGGGTTTGCTATGATCATTGAGTGAGAATGTCTCTATGCATCTCTCAAAGATTGCTGCCCCAGCTGACTCATGGGCACATGATATGAATTTTTACTTGGACCAAAAGTTGTATATGTGAGGGTAGCTTTTGTTAAAATAAGAAAGAGGTGTTAAATTGAGAATTTCGGATAAGTGAATTTTCATATCTTGAATGTTTGGAAAGCAAAGGATACCTGTATTAACTTTACATGTTTGTATACAGTGAACCCATGATCGAGCATATAGTTCAGTTATGTTTGGTCTTATTCTTTAGTCAATCATTGCCTATTAAGGCTAACTCCTTATGGTGAGAATGTGGATGCTTTTCTCAACCTCAGAAATTCTTGCACACAACCGCATCCAGCCCATACGTGCACGAACTGATCGCTATAAGAACAGCCCAGTCCCAACCATTGTAAAAATTATCAATAACATGTAATAAATCAGTGTATTCACTCCCAGTAAACACTGCTCCCTACACTGTCACTATGTTGAAAGGAACTGTAGTTTGAGCTGATCCCCATCTAAGTTACTATATGTCTTATTTGTGTCACTTATGTCACTTGTATATTATTTGTAATTCGTAACCCATTCCCCAAATATGTAACTGTATATTTTCAGCCTTCTGGCTGCCAAGCTCTTTCAATAAACCGTTAATTATTATTATTATTATTATTATTTATATAGATTAAAGGCTGACACTATTATCAAATGTCTATCTATAGAATTATTCTTTGGTGTGGATTCAATGTACAGATATTTTATTCCACTTACATTTAAGGATATTGCAGGCATTATATCTTTTATTTGATTCAAGTAAAGGTGATAAGATATAAATGTATGAATTGATTATGTACTTCTTTGACAGACAGTGGTTCGTGCTGACCCTCACATTGGATTACTCCACCGTGGAACTGAAAAGTTGATTGAATACAAGACATATACACAGTCTCTACCTTATTTTGATCGACTTGATTATGTATCCATGATGTGCAACGAACAGGCCTTTTCTCTAGCTGTGGAGAAGCTCCTAGGGCTTGAAGCACCAATCAGAGCCAAGTACATTCGTAGTAAGTTTTTTCAATATTATCCACTGCCTCTTCTGAGTTTGTATGCTATTAGTTGACTTTGTGTTTGTTCAAGTATCCAGATATGACTTAGGATCTGTTTAGTATCTTGAGGAAAACTTAGTGCAGTACAGTAAATGTATTTGATAATTCAACATGAATATTAATGTGTAGATAATAATATTTCTTCCTCAAACTCCTCTCATTGATTCAATTTTTTTCAGCAATGTTTGCTGAGATAACACGCATCATGAACCACTGCATGTTCCTGGGAACTCATGCGCTAGATGTTGGAGCCCTTACTCCATTTTTATGGTTGTTTGAGGAGCGTGAGAAGATGATGGAGTTTTATGAGCGGGCATCTGGGGCTCGCCTCCATGCTGCTTATGTCCGCCCAGGAGGTGTAGCCTTTGTAAGTGACTCTTTATCTCAGATACCTCTCTCTCTCTCACCTTTTTTCTCTTCTCTTTGTTTTCTTCTTTTTTATGCTTTTTCTTTTATTCACATTTGGAAGGACCCCATACATAGTTCTTGATATCTGTTATAAATATACCAGTATTTGTTGTATTGGAATTTTATTTATGGTCTAAGATTTGCAGACATATCCCTGGGAACTGACCATGTTGCTATTACCAGCCAAGGTGCGGTAATTGACCTTCTGACTTATAGATCTCTTACTTTTATATTTGTTTAGGATACTTCTTATTAATTTATTGCTTTAATCTGTTTTAGATAGTCAATATAGATACTTTGTAAGGTTTTGTGAGAAAATAAGTCTCAAGTTGCCTGATGACCCATTATGAGCAGTTTTGCAGAATTTGTCGAGTCTGTATTTGACTGCCATCATGAACTAGTAAACATTGGGACAGGTGGTGAGTGCTGCATCCACTCAGCCACCACACATCTTACTGGTGGTACTATTGATTGAATAATTTTAGGGCATTTTTATAATTTATTTTGGTCATCATGCTTTGCTGTTCTCTGATATCTTGCTAGGTCTGGATATCTGTAAAGCAATCAAGACATTATAATGTAGCTTCAAATTATTTTAAATAAGATTAGATTTTTTATTATTGCCTCTATTCTCTTTTTAAATCATTAAAAATAGACCACATTAGGAAAGTAAATACTATCATAGTAATGAGTACCTGTGTTTCCTGTTTCTTACCAGGACATACCAATTGGCCTGATGGATGACATCTATGAGTTTATTAGTAAGTTTGGTGAACGTCTTGATGAGGTGGAAGATGTCCTTACACATAACCGTATTTGGAAACAACGAACTATTGATATTGGAACTGTGTCTGCTGAGGATGCTCTCAACTATGGCTTCAGGTTAGTAATAGGAGACTTTTCTGTTCAAATTTTTCTTTCTTTATGAAATGATATTTAAGGTTAGTATTGTACATGTCGATTTATTATATTCATTCAGAGAGAACCTTTGGATTTTGTAAGACAGATTTAATTTACTTTTGTTGCTTGTTCTGAAGTATCGTATATATGTTGCTTATGTTCCGTGCAGGTTATTTTTTGTGTACAGTAATTATTTTCTTCCAATTGTATAACCTGTTAAGATTGAGCAGCTCTGTATAGTTAGTAAGTCTAGTGATCATGACCCCAGAGCATCAACATATGACAGATCTAAAAACTGAAAACTATTGACTAAAAGGTTATTAGTCACCTTCATTCTAGGGTCACAAAGGAAGTCCACTAGGTAAGAAGGTATCCTAAAAAGGGGAAAGGCTTGAAGGTGTTGCTCTGATCATAGTGTGAGGTGCTCTGATATCTTAACTTTTGCAAAGCCCACCGAACCAGATAATCCACCTCATATTTCAGTCACCCTATGAGATATTATACTCCTTGGAACACATCCCCTATTTATAATGGGGACCCCCTGTACCTTGACTATTTTTATTTTTTGTATTAATAGAATGTTAATGTTTTCATTTAGCCTTTGAAATTAATATTAGTCAAGTTAAGCCAAAGATTTTAGGTGACTTACACCAGATTCTACCTGTTACCACATGGCCCATGTGATAACAAGCAACATCTGGCATAAATTACCTGGGACTTGATACAAACATGCCTTGCTTCAGTCCCCAAGCACTAATTGATTTTATGCCCCAGTTACATATGCTAGGGGAAACATTGACTTGTATTTATCTGTCCTTTGATATGTCCCACCTTAATTTGTTTGTGGAATTATGCAAAAAGTATCTAGTTTGGAGTAATTAAGTTTATTTAGTCTGTACAAGTTTTTTTTGTCCTTAGATTTCCTGATCTGAATTTTCAAGCAGTTGTATTTTTTTTTTACATCACTGGGGATATAAGTTTCACAACCATGGCTCAAAGCAATATTTATTTTTATAATAGATTTTGTGCCATTGTTCAATCCCAGGTAGATTACAGTAAGGTTGATGGCAAGAAGCAAACTTCTATCCATACCTTGTGCACTATTATAAAGATGGTATTTCACATAAGGGAGGGTATAATGTATACAGTATAAAATTTTGCCATATTTAATATTTGGCATGAAAAATACCTATTTTAATTATCATAGAGAAAATGATTACAAAATTTTTTTCAGTGGTGTGATGCTCCGAGGGTCTGGCATTAAATGGGACCTGCGAAAAACACAACCTTATGATGCCTATGACCTTGTTGAGTTTGACATTCCAGTGGGAAGGAATGGTGACACGTACGACAGGTATGAGAAGATACGATATGTTATTGCGTTGTGAGTACAGTAAAGCCTCGAATAATGATGGTAATGTATCCTCCCATATTGCAGTGTAAGGTGAATCATTGTATCATGAATAATAATATTGCAGTGTAAGGTGAATCATTGTATCATGAATAATTTAATTATCATTAAGATAACGCAATAATAATGAGATGCGTTCCAAAGTTTGACCTTTTCTTATCTTTTATGCGGGTTTTTACCCTCTTTTCACCCCAGAGGTCTTATGCCTTTTTCACGTCCCTGTTAATGATTCGTTCTGTTAATGGATCCACTTCAGAAAATATGTTCATTGCTTGCTGCATAAATATCTGGCAGCCTGTGTGCAAAGCATGGTTTTTTTTTTTTTTGTATACTGTAATACATTTGGGATTTAGTTGTTATTTACATGAAAAGTTAATTATTTTTATTTTTTATTAAATTTTCGTCATAAACACGAAGAAAATATTGGTGTAAATTGAATTGGGTCCTAAATTAACCAGGGTCTTAAATATGAATCATCGTTAGTAGAACCATCGTTATCGGAGGCTTTCCTGTAGTTGCATTATAGCATTTAATGTTATGTATGGGAACCATCCTTTGTAATGACTTAGGTGGTTACACTGATGTCTGTAATTTTAAGGATGAAAAGAAGTTTATTGATTTAACACTGGCATGGGGTGGCTACCAGCCCCTAGGTGAATTAGTTTCAATCAATTGTCAGTCAGCCATACTTAAATATTTCCATAAATTTAGATTTCTGATGCTATTTTTTGTCATAGATAATTTTTTGGCATGTGTTTATGGTAGCATCACTACTGTATTGAACCCTTTTTATGCACAACAAAAATTGAGTAAATTACCTCTGTCCAGATACTTGATTCGTGTTGAGGAAATGCGTCAGTCACTTCGCATCGTCGAGCAATGTTTAAATCAGATGCCACCAGGTGAAGTACGCGTGGATGATGTCAAGGTAGCTCCACCATCAAGGGCAGAAATGAAGGTTAGTATAATATATTTTTAACAATGCTGTATTATCGTTCATTTAATTTGTTGCTATCTCTGAAAAAGAATGACTTGAGAAATGTGGTATTTGAAGGTAGGATACAGGAGGGGTCTTGAATATTTGATGTTAAGAGCAGTGCAGTTAATTAAATTAAATATGTTGAATGATAGACAAAAAAATTATGATAATATTGCAGTCCAGTGATATGAATAGAGGAGAAATAAGATAATAGATTTTAATGATGAGGTGGAATTAAGGATGAAATGTTCAGTGTACATGGAAGAAAAAGAGGAACTGATTGGGTAAAGAAAGGAAATAGTACCCGTAATAAGCAAAATAATAAATTTACAATCATTTAACTAGCAATATTATAAAGGTATGAAGTGTGGAGTCAGGATGCTTTTTTGGAACGTCGAGATCGACCCACGTGAATTGCACAAATTTGAGGAGAAAAATATGGAGGGGGGGGCGTCAAGGTCTTTGCCGGTGTTCATCACTAGGCCTGGGGTGGGTTGCGAAAGGGTCTTCAAATTTCTTGATCAATATCATTTATATCATCTTTAAATTTCCCAATAGTATATATACAGTATATTATTGAAAACTTCTAATTTTGTTATTTTCTTGTAATAAATACCAAATTTATGTTCAGTAATGTACTTGGAATTTTTCAAATTTACACCTGGAGAACCTGGAAAGGCCAGGGAATTTTGTTTTGTCTGGCCAATAGACACTCTGTATTAAAGCTTATATTGAAGGTATGGTATAATTATGTCTTTCACTGCAGAATAACATCTAAAAGTACAGTATTTCAGTTTTGGCAAATGGAACATATGAAGCAAAGGTGTTATGCTTGAAATAGAGGTTCTGTTTATAATAACATCGTACTGTAATATTATATGGCATGTATGGAGACCTTGAATTTGGTGACAAATTTAATGCTCTGGTTTGCTACTTGATATAATTTTATACAGTATATTACTTTTTCTTTTCAGTCTTCTATGGAGGCTCTTATTCATCACTTCAAGGTGTTTACTCAAGGTTATCAAGTGCCACCAGGTACTACATACACTGCAGTTGAAGCTCCAAAGGGTGAATTTGGTGTATACCTTGTCTCTGATGGATCATCAAAACCCTACAGGTACAGTGAAAGATTATCTTGTCTTGAGTTCCCATATGTTTGTCTTGGTGCTGGAGACAACAACTTGAGAGTTTAGGACTGGTCTGCCATCATTGTTTTATGCTGTTGATGTAGGTGCAAGACCTGTGGTGGAAAATGGCCATGTACAGTCTGTAAGAAAGGAGTTGGCTGCAACTTAATAATGTGCATTGAGAATAGAAGATGGGTACACATGAGATGCAATGAGAGTGTAATTTTAGAGGTGAAAGAAGACACTATTAAACGACATGAGCGTAAAGGAACAGTTGACAAATGGCAGAGAGAGAACATGCACACACACTTTCCAATAAATTACTCATTACCATTTCTTATATATTTGTTTTATGGATTCTTACCATTATTATGTTCTTATTGTTTTCATATCACATGATTGGTAAAAGTGCGGTTAGATAGACTAGCTAATAATTGGTGGTCTGTGGTGTTGCGTAGTCATTTTATGAACAGCCATGAGAAGATTATTATCGGTATACACACATACACACCTTTCATTTGTATTTTATATTGTATTTCATCATTGTACTGTATTCTATTAATTTCATAAATTTTTGTGGCTCTTCATGAAAAATAAATATCCTTTTGGAAGGTACCCGGTATGGCTGCAACAACACAAAATTATTTGAAGACAACTGTATGGACAAAATTAGTTAGTGTTCAGTGTGTTATTTGCTGTTGTAGAGGTGCTGGATATCAGTGACAGCTTCCATTCTTTGGGTTTCTAGGATATCACTGATGAACTGTCCAATAAGGGAAAGCCATCAGGTTATTGGTGAAGTAGCTGTTCCGAGGTGAATTGTCTGCCTAGTCCTTGGAGTTTTTGTAATACAGCAGGTCATTGATATCCATGATCGCATTTATGGGGTCAAATTATTGCTGGGCTATACATAAAAATTCCCGCATTTATGAGGAAAAATATTGGCTATACCGCCACACATCACCCAACCCCCACCATGCGCATTCCCCATACAGTGCAATTCCTTTTATCTTAACTCCTCTGGACCAATGATGGTTCAGATACCTGGACATGCTTACAAGAATATGCAATAATTAACATTAAGTCAAAATTTGGTTTAGCAATAGTTTGACTCTTTGGGAAGGGGAAAAAACTGGGGATGAAGTGGCATGTGTGATGGCATGTTGCCATTGTTACATGTAATGAAACTAAAAGTTGTGGAATAATCATTACAATACAATACTCTATTGTGGCTTAGAAATAAAGAAAATATAATATCAAACTATAAAATAAGAAAAGTGAAGAGCATGGCTGTGTATATATGAGGAGTGAACGTATGCGTAGAGGCAGTGGGTTGTAACTGTGTCGCCGATTCACCACCCACCTGGCCCACACCCCATACCACCAATATGACATCACAGCACACACACACACAAAAAAAAAAATTCTTGGACAGTGTCTAATCCTCCATGGTTTTCTCTTGTTTTGTTCAGGAGTTCAAAGTGTAATGCTTGTGCTCAATTAAGTGCAGTCACTAAAAGGAAGCTTAGCAGCTATGGATTGGACATGAATTAGACATTCATCGGAAGAAAAGTGGTGAGCGTGTAATAAATATCTCACATGCCCTTCAGATTCCAGAGTGTAAATGATAAGATATCAAAATTATCTTTTTGGGTGTCGTTTAGTATCTGATAATACCATTCAAACCCTATTTCAATCATTTATGGCCAGAAATCCCCAGCTTTAAATGGCAATTTTTCCATCCCTAATAGCCTTGGATAATGAGGACCTTCCAATTTTCAAGGTGCCTGTTGTAACAGGGCCACTCAGTTATGTAGGCTCTCCACTAAAATGGAGGATTTATCTTCAGTTTCTATTTGCTAGTAAAGCTTTTAGCCAAGTCGTTTGGATACCCTCTTATCATTACTTGGGTTTCTGTGTAGTCAGCTGCTCGTTACAAGGTCTCCTTGACTACAGTCTCCTCAAGAAAGTAGAATTTGGGGATTCTGCTTCAAGAATTCATCTAACTCTTTCTTACCTTCATATACCTGTAATATGCAAATGCTTATTTTGTTTTTTCCAGATGCAAAATAAAGGCCCCCGGCTTTGCTCACCTTGCAGCCACTGATATGGTTGGGAAGAACCACATGCTAGCTGACATTGTAGCCATCATTGGCACTCTGGATATTGTGTTCGGTGAGGTGGATCGTTAAAGTACCGTACAGTACAGTACTGTATGTTAATATGCTAAGTGGTTCATGAATCCGAGCACCATGAATGGAGTAAACAAAAGTAAGTTCAGCCATTTTTTAAACACTCCTGGGTTAATTAGTACCAACCCTAGTACTGACACTGATTTTATATCCTCTTTAGGCTTTCTGACTGGTGAAAGTGCCCAAACTAAAACGAAATGTTCAGTAATGTTTGTCCCTCCATCAATTTAAATTCTGCATAGAGTTAATGGTTTCTTTTCAGTAAACAAATGCCAAAGGTTGCTATTATCTTAGTGCCTCACAAGAGAAAAATAAGAGCTTCATTAAGAATAACAAGAAGGCTGTCTCTCTCTCTAAGAAAATTTCAGTAATGCAGCCTTGTCATTTATGGCACCATGCTTCCTCTTGACCCCAACAATGATAATTTGTCTGTTTGTTTTAATGTATTGAAGTGCTTCAGTGACCAGGATCTTTTAGGTACTGATCAGAAAGCATTTCTCTAACCCAGAATAATTTGGAGACTTGCATTCTGATGGTGTTGCTGGTTTTATATTGAACCTACTAAGGCTGGCATATTTATTGAAGCCAAAGTTGCAACCCTCTCCCTTCCATTTTGCTTTGGATGAAGTAATTCACTCACTTTGGGATTTCTTTTCAAGTAAGTAAATAAAAAAAAGGGTGTTTTGCTACCTTAACCCAGGTTGGAGAATACAATATGTATTGTTTGAATTTACTAACCCAAGTGTTTGAAAATAATGGCTGAGTTTTTTTTTATATATATAATGATACAAGATAATTTAAAAATGTACAGTAGCAAGCTAGGCTGTATGTTACTACAGTAGTTGTTGATGTATATAGTTATATAAAGAAAAGTTCAAAGACATAAGAACTGATATTTGACTTTCTTTATATCCTGTTCTTTTTACTCCAGAAAGAACTGCAACATTAACTGTGAATTTTACAGTATTTTATGTGATGGAAGTGAAGTTGGTTCCATAGTCCTTCTGGCTTATTAGGGGCAATGTAGAAATGGTAAATTGTACAATACAGTATATTAACAATCACGGTGTTGGACGTGAGGGGAGAGTGCATTATGGATACAGTACAGGTTGTAGCATGAGGATCCATGGTACAGTATTTCTGACTGATGGGATTTCAGCTCCCCACATTCTTTTTTATAAATTCGCATGGAATTACAATACGCATTGGACATAAATTCTAATAACACCGTAAGCTAACTCAAGACCTTAACAAAACATTCAGTAACTATAAAACTCATTATTTTGAAAAAGATAATGACCCACATTGATATAGTGAGTAAAGAATATGGAAAACATATTTTTTGGTCACTATTTAAAATCGATTTATTTTAGAGATTTTTGTTGGTTCCACAGGAAAGCTGAACACTACCCACTCAACACATTTACTTATGATTAGATAGTGTTCCCACCAGTGTAGGTTTGAAAAATTATAAAGGGGGGGGGGGGGAGAGTATGCTGGCTTCCATGCGTGTACAGCTTCTGTAAGTGGAGGACATTCCCAGGTACAGTACAGTAGTCCCTTGCCAGCTGCAGGTGTTCTCTTCATGAAAAACCCTGTGGTTGTTAAGAATAAAGGCTGAAGGGAAATGGGGTTAGGTGCATTGGTTGTGGATAACTCTTTACAGCCTATCTGATCCCCCTACTAAGTTTTGCATTGTACAGGCTGTATCCATTCTTAAAGTTTTTGAACCAACCTTTACTGACTTGAAACTGTCTGTTAAACTTCCCTCACCCAAACTTTCAACAAGGTGGTTGTACATCTGCTTGGATTTTGCACAAACTAGCTCTTGAGTTTTAGGCAAAATTTTCTGGGTCTGATCTTCAATCCATATGTACAATGCTTTTTCTATCCTTTCAGAAGATTCTAGCCACCTTGCTATTGCAAGAGTAAGAATAAAGGAATGCTAATCACACCTGAAAGAAATGCAATACAAGTTTATAGATTTTATAACTTTAATTCTGTACATATCATAATTCTACTTGAAACTATTTACATATTTAAAAATATTTAGGTAGTCAACTTTCTAAAAATGCAACCGGTCAATGGAAACTTTAATTGTGTAGTTTATCTGTAACTGGTTAACAGTTAACCACACAATTATTACAACATTGTAAGGAAACAGACCGCATTAAATAATCAGACCCATCTTTGGTTGACCAATGAAACAAAGGAGATTCAATGACAATATAAAAATTAAATGGAACAGTAGGCAGGTGAGGTAGAAAATACCAAGCAAGTGAAGAGAAAGATAATACAGGAAATAGTTCACCACCATAATTTTTCACTCCAAGCTGGGTGCCTTATTCCGATGAAATGAATCTATTTCACTCCTTCATGTATGACTGTCTAATAAGAATATTTTGAGTTTCTTACATGTATCTCTATTATGCCTTGGTCTAACACGGTCTTAGAAATCTCCTTGTTAAAAACCAAAACAGGTTATCTTGACCATTCCATCCTCAACAATTAAATTATGGCAAGATAAAACTTAGGAGTAAAAAATTTTTGGGGAGCTCCTTTGAGATCATATTCGCACAATTAATGAGCACCACCATATAACTTATCTCAATATAAAAAATAGACCTACGTACTCAAACTTTATATATTAGTAAGTTGCTACCATTATGAAGACTGTTTACTACATACTGTACTGAGCTTTCCATCCAATTATACAATACATAATCCTGATATTTTTTTACTTGGCTTTTTCTAAGTTTTAGTACTAGTGCTCTACATTTGTATGTTTATGAACTGGTTAACAATCGGTAAAGAGAACAATAACTTCAATCTTAACTTTTCAAATCCTCAATCTTTTTGCAAATCTCATCAGTGAATTCAGAACATTTTGCTGTACCACCTAGATCACCTGTCCGGAAATTACCCTCCTTGATGGTTTCAAAACAAGCTTGTTCAATAATTAAAGCATGCTTGGGCAATTCCATATACCGTAACATCATGACAGCAGATAACAAGAGTGCTGTTGGATTAGCCTTGTCCTGACCAGCAATGTCAGGAGCTGTGCCATGAACTGACTCAAAGACAGCACCACCCTCACCAATATTCCCAGATGGTGTTAAACCTAGACCACCTACTAACCCTGCACACAGATCTGAGAGGATATCACCATACAGATTAGGCATAACCAATACATCATACTGTGAGGGATCTTGTACCATATTTAGGCATACAGTATCCAGATATCTCTCTTCAAATTTGATGTCAGGATTTCTCTCAGCAGCTTCTCGGCAACAACGAAGGAAGAGTCCATCTGACATCCGCATGATGTTTGCCTTGTGGACTGCTGTTACTTTAGATCTGAAAGTAAACATACATTCAAAATGTATTGCAGTACATGTAAACATTCATTATCTTAAATTCTTTCAATTCTCAATTTAATCACTTTATCGTTACCAATGAGTAAAATCCTGTGAAGACACTGATCATGTTTAAAAACAAAATTAATCTCATTTGGGGAAATTAGGAATTTAAGAAACATACAGGTAAAGTACTTCAAATTTTTAAAAAAGTCTTGTCTTCAGCTTTAATTATTCCATTGTGTATCCAGCAGGTATTTTCCTAAAACACAGCAGGATGATTACAGAAAAACACCTCCACATAATCTGAGTGCAACTATGCATTTTCTACCCTTGGTATACCATTCACACATATTTCTGTAAATTGAAAATTTTCTTATTTCATCTCACTCACATGAACAATCACAGCTTAGATTTTGTCATTACTTCTCAACAATTCAAGGTTGTACAAATTAGAAACAAACCAGAATGCATTCTTCTGTTACTCCAACGTTATCTCATCCAATTAACTCCATCTTCTGTTTTCTGAATAATTCAGATACTTGGGATGAGGCATACTGAATAGCAAGGCAAATAGTGGGTAGAAACTGCTAATGTGGTTGTTCATATTAGGAAATAAAAAATGGAGAAAATACTACAACCGACTGCTGAATAAAAGGTTTAAATAATATTAAAGTAAAATCCCAGCTACTTGGCACCTACAGGGACTGGGAGTTGGGTTAAAATGATAATTAGAAAACATTTCAAACCTATTCTAAGTGCAGAAGTAAACAAATTTACCTTCCATTATTGCGAGCATACTGGAAAGCATACTCTGCCACACGACGTGAAGCTGGTTCTGTGATAAGTTTGATGCTCTGAACAACACCATCTACAATTTCATGCTCAATACCAGAGTATTCTCCTTCAGTATTTTCACGAATGGTGACAACATCCACATCTCGGTAGAGTGTCTCATATCCCTCCACGCTCCGACATGGACGTACATTAGCATAAAGATTGAATTCCTTACGAATGGCTAAGTTGAGTGAGCGATGGCCCTTTCCAACTGGAGTCATCAAAGGTCCCTTCAGCCCAATGCCATTTCGATTGACTGAGTCAATGGCTGCAGGTGGAATCCCAAATTTTCCATCAGGGCCTTTAACTGGTGTTACATCTACTTCTTCCCAGGAAATTGGAACCTGTAAAGAAGTCATTAAAAGAATGATACCATATTCTTCTATCTTAAAAGACATTTCTTCAATATAAATATAAAAAAATGTGTAATTAGCTCATAGTACTGTACTGTACTCGCTAAGTAGAGCCACATGTTTATATAATAATTACTACTTTTAGTTCCCTTCTATTTGTATAATTCATAAAATCAAATGTTTTAAATGATTTGGACACTGCCGTCATACCAAGGTTTAGTGGTAAGAAAGGATAGTAAGTGTAGATATTGGTGAGATGGGACTAATAATACTGTACTGGAAACTGTAACTATGTTTTCCTTGCAAATTAAGTTTGCTCCAAGATCCCTTTGACATGTCATTCCTTGAATTGTCAAGTTTTTGTTCCAATGCATATGTTTTTTCTCTCTTTAAGTGCAAATACTCCTGGAACATTTATTCTTGCTATTTATTCCCCAAAATATAATTCATACAAGTGTGGCAGATAATCCAACTTCAACCTGACCACAAACTACTCAGTGGCCTGAGGTTACCTCTGATGTGTTAATGCAACCTTTCTTTGATAAACAAGTCGGGTATCACTAAAAGAATCTCTTTCCACAGTCAGATATACCTTCATAAAGTTCAGAACATAAGATATACAGTAAGGTTTCAATTGGAGGTGTCCAACAATGAGATTTAAAAATCATCTGCTATGCTGACCATGTGAATTTCCTAATGATGTGATGGTTGCCTGAAGCACGGAAGTATGTAACTCAGTTACCCATGACATACAGTACTGTACTATGATTAGTTCCTTCTTTCCTCCTGTGACTCTCCCTTCTGCTCTTATGATTCAAACTTGGGACAGTGATTTTACACTTGTGTTTTTTCATTTCCTGTGTATGAAATTACTACTGAACCAAGCCTACAGTGCTAGTCAAATTTTCAGAGTAGTTGAGAGTGAAAAATGCTTTTTTTCTGGTTCTAGAAAGGTGTTTGAAACTCTCCCTTTATACTAGCCAGGTAGCCCAGCTAGTGTTTCAATATTTTTGTTAGGAATACTCTTACTTTACCATAGACTACACAAATATATCTATACCCCATACTAACCTCTGCTGTACAGAAAATCTTTTGCACAGCAGCTGAGATTTCTGGTCCAATGCCATCGCCAGGTATAAGGGTGACTTTTCGTACATCACTGCTATACTTGCGAGCTCCCGCAAAACGCACACTACCGATCTGTAAAGATATTTACATGTAATTCATATTCAAAGTATTGTACCTACAGTATTAACTTTATTCTTCCCCTTCTTTTTTACATTTAATTTAATAATAAGTTACAAAAAAGTAATCTCACTCAATCCCATTGGGATCCACACAACTCTGCAGTTTTATGCTGGGAAGATTATGTTGGGGATATGTTGTACTTACCTAGGGCTGAAATTAACTTACCCCATTTTTTTTTTTAATGTAATAGCCCTGATTTCTTTTTGGCATGGGATTCTGAGGGGGTTTAGTCATAAGCTATTTTTTAAATGATGGGGAAAAAAAAAAACGGGGAGGGAACCTGCTCATCTACTGTATACAGTATCACAAATTAACCTGATGTCAGTTATTCATAACAACATACTACGGTATACCTAAATACCCAAGAATCATAACATTATACTACCTGTACCTAGCAAGGGGTCCACACTATATGTTATTTCACATACCCGTATACGTTGCTAACAAATGTATATAGAGATTTTCATTATACAGTACTATAGTACGTCGTTTGTTTCATATACAGATACTCCCCGACTTACGACCTACTCGACTTACGTCCACCCGCACTTACGACCTGCCTCAGTCGTACCAAAATTTGTTCAAATTATGTATTTTCGAGTCCCAAAGTCAGTACACAGACAAAATGTTCATCTGTAATTCACTTAAAATGGCTGGCAAGCTTAAAAGTAAGTGTTTTATGGTGCTGAGAAGAAAAAGAGACCCCCCAGTACAGTACTGCATCGTTCACTGTTTAATACCAAGTCTGTGTATCTGAATATGACTCAAATAATGTTAAAAACATTAAATACTGTACAGTATAATGTAAAAATAACCCTTGTGGAGCACTTTTAATACTTATTATGGTTAAGTTTCTACCACACCAAAATACATGTCTCTGCCAACACAACTGCCATTGTTACATGAAAGTACAGTAACCACAGAATTTACAAAAAAATCATCTCAATGTGCTAGTGTACCTTACATGCCAAGATTAGCATTGGCATTATATATATCTGTATAAGATTTGTTTTTAAATATCAGTATAGGTACTCCTGAGCATGCCGATTCTGAATCTATGGTCCATGATTCGATTGCGGGGGTAATTAGTGGTTGTAATGATGCTTGTAAGATTTTAATTACATTATTTCAATGCTAATTACTCGCCAACTATGGGTATCCAAGGTGCAATTTTAGTGTTTTTGTGTTATTCTGGAAGTACTAAATTATTTAAACCATCTAAATTCCAATTCCAAGAGAAAAGTATATTTCTTTTCACATTTGCATTGTAGCTGGGTTGGACTCGTCATTGTAACCACCAGGCTACTGGACCAAGATCTGAGGTGTTATGGTTATTTTTCAACTCGTATTTTCGGGTAGATATGTGTAACTTTCTTCATTTACTTTTACTCAGTTACATGCACACACCATCCTACATACATACATTATTGTGAAAAATAAGTATTAGAAATAATTGTCCTAAGGGCAAACACATGAAGGGAATATACATTTCTTTGCACACGAGTTAGCTGGCTCAGTGAGGGAGCAGGATTAGGATGGGGGGGGGGGGTGCTAGGGAATTAGCAGAGGTAGCGTCCTTGCTGTTCTCCATTGCCATGGTGAATCAGAGTACTGTATATGCAAATGGCGACTAAGTTAAACTTTCAATTGGCTTTTATTTACTGGTTTAGCAATACAGTACAGTATTTTTTGTTGTAACTGATTTATTGGTATTAGTTTTCTTTATTCTTCACATTTACTGATATTGTATATATTATTTTAAGAAAACTATGGCTACAGGAGGAAAATACATGCAAAAGTTTTTTCCTAAGTATTATCTGCATCTTACATGCCATAAAATACAGTAATAGTCTATTGATAAATACAGTACATCAGTGAGTTATATCAGTGATTTATAAACTATCTGTACTAGCAATACAGTATATGTACCATAAATTCTGATAAATTAGTTTACTTATGGAAAGGTTTCAAGTATTGTACAGTTTTACTCAGGGTACTCATGTCCATTGATGTACTCCCCCCTTGTCTAGCCCGAGGACCACTGCTCCCTCTGGTTTAGTGTACTGAAGGCATGGCCCATTGTTCTTCACCTCGATCAGGTCTAGGGTGTCATTACCCAATAGGTAGCATCCTTCACAACATTTATATTGATGAAACTTTGCTCCATAATGGCTGTGCTCATGGCAATCACAACCACATTAACTCCAGTACAGGTAAGATCATGTGGAAGGAGCAGCATCAACATATCCTTCGGTGGTGTTATCTATACGTTGTTCCTTCATTGAATTTCTTTCTAACATCCACTATCCTGAGGGAAATGAAGGTTAAGTAGGTTAGGTCATATACTGTGTGCTGTATTTTCACATTTTTGTTTAGTACCATGCTAATACACTAACGTCTTCAGAATTTTTTTTTGGAATTCTATAAACTTCTTCGGGGCTGACCGTCTCCAATAATAAAAAAAAAAATTATGCATAAAACCATCCTCAACCACCAATATACCGTACCCGTAGATCAAATACCTGTGAAAATAAGAAGCTTTAAAACCATGTGGAAATTCTGTCTTCCCGGTGTTGTGCAAAATATATCACAGGTGAGATTTGTTTTGTTTTGCTATACTGTGCATGCACGGAACAAAAAAATTTGTTCTGTGAATGTAAACAAACCCACTGAAGGACTGCAAAAAAGTAGCTAGATTGTAGGATACCCCCCCCCCTCATCAGAGGTGCACACCTGCTCCCTCTCTTACATACTGTACATCATCATAGACTTAGGCTATACCTAATTAGCAGAAGCCACACCTGAATGTTGGCCAGTGGACTACTCCCCGTCACACCAATAGAAGCAGCCACACTATATGTAGAACCCACTAAGGGTGGGTCCTGGGGGTCCAGACCCCCCCCCCCCATTTTCATTAGAAAATTCCAATACTTTTTCTTCTTTAATAAAGTGTTGTACTCAGGCATTTTTGTATAGTAAAAATCAATTACTATTGACCTCAGAATATCTCCTAATATCAAGTGCACATGGCTTTAAAATGGCCTCGAAATGTCCATGACAGTGGTCAAAATTTAAAAAATAATGTGGGGGGGGGGGCTTACAGCGCCCCCCCACCAGCTGGGTGGGCTCGCTTTGCTTGCCAGGTTCCCGCCACCCAATATTTCTTGGACCCCCTATTTGATATTCCTGAATCCGCCCCTGCCCACACATAGGGGCACATTATCCCTATACTGATAGATAAGTACTCCCGCCCCATGCTTGGAGCCATGAGCAACTCACAGGATATGCTCAGGTCAAGATATTATTCACATTAAAGAACAATAGCTTTTATGAAACCATAATATTATCTAAAACCACATTGGGTATATATATTGTGGTGTGACTTATTATCCATAACTACTGTCCAAATATGTCAAGTGTGACTTATTTCGTAGCGGTAGATATATTGGTCCGCTATACCGAGCTCACTTCACAAACCGGCGGATATTTTACTCTTTGTACCCCTAGGAGGCTCCTTCACCAGCCTCTCACAGTACAAATGGTCCTTGCTAATGCCTTCTTTTAATGTATTTAAACATTAAAAAAAGGGTAGGCCGTAGGCTTGACGGTCTTGATCAAATGACACGACAACTTACTATCACCTCTAACCAATATTTGGGAGCAGCAAAAATAGTACCACTTGTTCCAACGTAAGCAATGACAGTTGAAAATAACAAATATCTTCCGCGCAAACAAATAAGAAAGTAGAATCAATTATATTTACCAAAGATTTACAGAGACGTCCTGCCATCGTCGACGACTGTGTGGAGGTCGGCTGAAAATCTGAATTTGTGAAGAAGTAGCTGATAATGAAAGAAGGACAATAATTATAGCTTATATGGATCTGTTTTTATTTTAATTAACGTAAATTAAAATTTGCCAATGTTTAGTTTGTAAAATTTGTTAAATAGCTTTAATGTGCTTGAAGAGGAATTCAGGAAAAAAGAATATTAGTCAATATGACAGTAAATTATAGGTTTGTTCTTATTGTTACTACAAAAAACGGCTGATATAATAGGTTGAATATGAAGTTATAAATACAATTGTATTTTATCTCAACTGAGGCCATTATTGATCACGGGTCATAGCAGATTTTAATATCAATATAATTTTGTTTGCAGGAAAGTAAGAACTAAAAATAGTTTATTAAAATACAAGAAATATTTATAAAAGAAAAAATAAACAAATATTAAATGAAAATAAGGATTAGAAATATATTTTAAGGAGTGGTTGCTGGCAGACAGTGATAAACCACATCAGAGACGACCTCAGTCACTCTCATTTCACCTGAGATTATTAACCTGCCACCTCTAAATCAACATAAACCTTTGTCAAATATGTCTAACTCTGAACAAAAAATCGAGGGGTCCACACTGGAAAAGGTAGAAGAGAAGCCAACAGAATGTGAGGAGGAGAAGAAGGAGGTAAGAAGGCCACCTCGTCCCAATATGGATGTAAACAAACACTACTTGATAGATTTAGGATTAATATCATTTAAACCCTAAGGTGTCTACTTTAGAACAATACCTGGGACGTGTCTACTAAAACATAGTATGATAATGGTGCAGATGTTTTACAGGTTCTTTGTAGTTTGTTCCTGTAAAAAAATCCTTATGTTCACTCAAAGTTTATTTTTGTGTGTGCCAGTGATTCAACCATAACTTATCTTTATATTTGGCGAAACTCTACATCAGTACACTGTTGATCATCTTCATACAGTGACTTTATTTCTTACAACAAAAGTGAGCACACCTGATTTGGTCACAGCCAGATGGTGTACAGGTATTGAGGCTATGGGTAACTAACTGTAACACAGGCACAGGTTAAACTGGAATTTTGTAATTATATTGGTGAATTTATAGTAAAGTACCGGTCTTTCTCTCGCTGTTATTAATATGTATTTCGTAATGTTTACACATTTTTATGAATTTTTTTCTACGATATTTCATAAGAACATAAGAATGGAGGAAACTGCAGCAGGCCTATTGGCCCATACTGGCCAGTCCCATTTACACCCAACCTCTGCTGCTCATACAGGTATATCCATCCAACCTACATTCGAAGCTATCCAGCGTATTTGAGTGAAAGATGATATTTGGCAACTTGTTCCACTCGTCCACTACTCTATTTCCAAACCAGTGTTTACCTATTTTGCGCCTTTATCTAGATTTGTATAATTTAAAGCCATTGTTATGAGTTCGCTCTGCTAGAAATTAAGGATAACCGAGATAATAATTTTCCAATATTATTATATTTGGTCAGTCACAAGTGTCACCATTTGTTGTTTATGTCTTGCGGAGAAACTCTGACCCTCCTCAGTCAATGCTCTTTACCTCCGTGTTCACTTCTTAAGCGTCTACAGCACATGTGCGAGGGTGGTGTGGGAGTTCCTTATTGGCTATAGCAAGAGGAAACTTATTATTGGGCAAGAGTTTTTTGTCTTAGCCAATGAATAATGCATGGGTGTGTCTGGAGCAAAGATTTAAATTTTCAGTACCAGATATGGTTGAACTGGTTGAAGAGCTGTGCTGACATTGTGATAGATATTATTTTACATCAATTGCCTTTTGTTAATTTGTCTAGATAAGGTTGGGTTAAATTTATATTATATTCTAAGGCAGCACTTATTTCTAACTGGGAAAGAAATTGATTCTTTGCGGTTCAGGGAGTGCCACATTGAAGTTTAATTATCGAGAGGCACAGATCCACAGAGGGTAAGAACTATTATTCTAAGGTGCATGGCAGTTTGCATTACAGTATAAGCACAAATACTGTATACATTAGTACCTATAAAATTGTATTATTTTACTTATTTCTCCTGTACAGTACAGTAAACCCTTGCCATTCACGAGTTTGCGATTCGCGATTTCGACAATGAAAGCTTTATTGTTAGATAAGTTAAAAGAGGGGATGAGTGCTGCTGCGGCTGGTCAGTTGTTTGGTATAGGTATATAGTAGTGCACTAAGGTAGCATAAGTTGCTATTCGCAGTTTTGCCAATTCGTGCCATTTTTTGGAACCTATTGTACTTTCTTAAAATGAAAAATATGTTTTTTCAGACAAAAATAAGATTCTTGCACTTTGTGCTAATTGATTTTTTTGCATTGCAGTCTAACCAGCCACCACTGACTGCAGCAGGTGTTGAGGCTGCAGAAGAAGCCAAACTTCGCTCAAAGTACCCAAGTGTTGGTCGGCCTATGGCTGGACACTCTGCTTTCTTACAAAAGAGGCTTACCAAAGGGGTAAGTGTTTTGTATAGTACGTATATACTGTGTGTGTGTGTGTGTGTGTGTGTGCGTGCGTGCGTGCGTGTGTGCGTGCGTGAAGGTAACACTGCTTATCTGGACTGTTTAAAGAAAGTCTGTTGTTGTTATAATGTTATTGATGCATTTCAACAACTAAGGTCTTTAAGTGCATGACAATGTTATTAAAACATTATTACATCTACGATAAAAAATATGAAACGGAACTCTCGGTTAAAAATCGAGACGTAGTCTGATTGTTGAGAACGGTTTTCACTGAAATGATTGTTTTGTACTGTAGTGTAATATGTAAGTAACCACAGAATTTTTTATTTTTTCTTAATAAAGAGGAAACTACACAGTACACTACAGTATTATGAAGATAAAAATAAGAGTGTAGCAGTGTACAGGCATTGTGTGTTGGAGATGAGAGTGATCTGGGAGCAGCATGGGTGGGTGGTTCCCTTCCCAATATCCCTTTTGCACATCTTTATGCAATTTAACCATAATTCTCACATCATATAGGTTCTTTTGGTGTGGGGTTGATAAAATATTATAAAGGAATCAACTTTACTGAAACAAGATTCCCACACTTAACTCCATGAGTTGTTCATTTATAAAGGGCAAACAGCTGATTGGCTTAGCTCCTCCACCATTCCTGCTTACCACAACATCTGTCTTCAGCACTTAGTAAATTAGTACAGTCCTGTAGTGTATTTATCATCACTTAATAAGTAATTTTCTTGTATTAATCCTGGATAGATTTCAGGGGGCCTGATAGCTGACTCAAATAGATTTGGCCATTCATTGATTACATGTTGAGGAATAAACCAAACCCCTTAAAAGAACTCTTTACTCTTCACAAAATATGAGGTAAACCCCACTATCATTTTTATCTACTTACAGGAACACAATATGGTAAAGCATCTCCAGGCTTTGCACCCATACATTATCAGTTTTGCCCGTGCATATTAATGCTAAGAAGTTAGTGATTTATTGAATCTAACAATTCATTATTATGAACTTAACTGCCTATCCCCAAATGTTGTGCTTATAGATCGTACTAAATAATGTGAGTGATAATTTAACGGGATTATTATTTCAAATGAACTGTATGATATTACTGGTCGGGTTAGTGTGGTGTGGCTTTGGGTGTTTAGGATTATAAATGGAGTTTTGCTGAGGGCGGAAGGGAAAACTGTTAGGGTTTTGCAGGTTAATACATACATGTGATGGGTCTTGTTGAACAAAAATAATTTTTCAGTATGTTCCGAGTCAAATGGAGACTAGGTATGTTGGGAGTTAGTTCTGATTGAGGTATAGACATTGCCTTGATCTGTTATCTTGACCAGACCTTTATATTTGCTTCACCATGAGGTCTAGGGATTCATTATAATCCCTACAGTATATTCCTATTCCTTCCTTTACCTGTTAGCAGTCTCTCTCTCTCTTCATTTTCTTTGTAAAAATGCTACAGTAATTGACACTCAAACATTTACATTACTGTACCCCCTATATTATAACTTTGAGATACCAAGAAAATGGATTGCAATTCTTCCCTAATTTGAGAACAATACTGAACCTTTTTAGCTATGTCCAAGTAATGGGGAAGGACGGATGATTATAAGATCAGGCTGTGAATGGCATGATGGACTCCACCTGCCTTACAAGTATTAACAGTAACAAAGAAAGAGGATTCTAGGAACAATCCCCAATTTTCTGTCTTGCACCTTTCTTGGTGCTTTTTCCTATTGCCCTGCATCATTTTCCTTTATTACCTCCCCCAGTTTTGAGACTTATAAAATCCACTCCACAGAAGGTTAGAGGAGCGAAGATAACCGATAGAGAATTTCCTTTTTCAGCAAAAATACTTTGACTCGGGAGACTACCAAATGGCCAAGCAAAAGTCAGCTAGTAACAAATCACGAATGCCACCACTTCTAGCTCAGCCTACCGGTGAAGCTATTCCTACTCCCGAGTCTGTGCCTGTACGGAAGACATCCATCATCCACAGCAAATTAACTTCTGCATCATAAGTCATGCCTGACCCAATGACCTTTCTTTATCCAGTTACTATTTAGTAGGTCAAGGGAAGATGATGGTGACCCAGACATGTATCTTATAACTAGGGGTATATTTAATGAAGCCACCATTCTGGTACATGCTTTATCTTGAAACATCCATGGATCCCACAAAAATGGTTCCATATATGCTGATTTTAAGCAGACTCCCATGCTTGCATTGTACAGAGGTGGAGCTAATTATCTGGGTAATTAGAATTAGTGTTATCTTCCCTCAACCTGCTGGACTTCATACTTCTCCAGTATGATGCAAGCTTCCCACTCACAGGAGCACATATGTTGCCAAGTCTGTGTTGGGTCATATCAAGGGCTTTTTTGTCTATCAAGGGTTCCTTAGTACTTATACAGAGTGGAGACTGATTACTGAGGAAAAATTCCTTTGCACATTTTGATGATTGCATTACCATTTGATACATTTTACCTTTTTTTATTTGATCAGTCCATAATTACTGGGTGATACATGTAATCAAAAATTTCTTCATTTTGAAGAGTGTCTAAGATCCCTTGTAGACTTTTTAATGGCTTTAGCTGAAAGCAGAAAATTCTGCTTAAGCAACTTTTCAAAGATTATAACTTTTCTAATAGCCATTTTTGAGCTGGAGAAGCAATATGTGGAAGAACCGTGTTTTTCTGCCTCAGTGATATAAAATAATGTAGTGTTGTAACAGAATCATAAGTTGTGTGCCCATCTCTGACTCGTTAACATTCAGGGACTGTTAAGGACTTGCATTCTGCTTATCAGTAGTTTTTCTTTATCCAGCATTATTTCAACTCTGCTTCAAATTATATCTTGTGTTATCCAAGACATGTTCATCCCTTTAATGACAATTGAGTTAAACAACACCATTTAATTATTCTTTGAGTAATTTGTTTTAGATTGTTTTTAATATTTATACTGTACATTTAAAATCCAGTTATTTGAGAAATAGTAAAACAAAAGTGGATGGGATGAGAAGTGTGATTGACAGTATGTAAGTTCAGTGTGTAGACCTAATATGGAGTTGCCAAATTGTATGAGAAGCACTGGGCTGTTTACCATCATTGTTCCTTTACAAAGCGTTACATAGATTTCAGAAGTAGCTAAATAAACGATTCATTCCTTTATAACATGCATCACATTTTAAATGATTACAATAATTATGTGTGGCGTAGATATTTTCTGTAAGTCTTTCATATTAAACATATTTATTGTAACATAAATACTGTAGTGATTGGGAGCAGAAAACTTAGCCAAGAACTAGTGAGATTAAGCTTGTGAGTGGATTTTGCCAAACCTTCCAATAACTACCTAACTCACAACTCTCCCTGGTCATATATAACTGCTGAAAGCTATAGTAATGCAATTATATATTTTTATCCAATATCATGGTAATTGTGTATATGGGTTTGTCATATGTGGGAAGAACATTATATATTATTATGGATGTAAATTTTCAATGAAGATAGACTTATAGTTCAACCTTGTTTTTATGCCATTTCAGAATTTATTAGTTGCTTGTATTGTGTGTCAAACTTTTATCCAAATATCATCTTCTCCTGTAAAAACAAAATTGGTGAAATAAATCAACATTTAGTTTTGAAGACTGGCATTCTTTAAAAAATCTTTCTCCCCCATTTTTTTATTTATTTTTTATTTTATTTTTTAATTTTTTTAGTGTAGGTTAGGCAGGTGCATCTGGACTTAGGAATATTTTTTTTGTCTTGTCACGTACTGTACTGCATTAACTTGGTAAATTATTTAATGTACCTGTACTGTGAATTTGTCCTAGCAGAATAACTTAGTTATGAATGAAGTTTGGTTCACATTTTATTTGGTACAGAGATTGGTCATGACATACTGTACTATACCATGGCTGTGTTATTCTATTCAAGATAACAAAATAATTATATCAGAGAAGGATGTGGGTAAACACTCCATTGAATGCTGGTTAGATATATTTCACTTTTAGAGTTATATTTCACATTAAAGTACAGTAGTAATAATACACATGTGCATTAAGATAGAATGGAAGGTTATGATGCCTTATTCTGAAGTGTGATTTGTTGCTCACTTGTACCCAAAGTGACTCGGCTATTTTTTTTCCAATTAAAGGAATCCTTCCAGTTACTGTAGTTGTAAGGCAGATTTTCTCTGATGAGTGCTAAGACTGTGTGTGACTCAATCAGAAAATTCACATTTGTATTGGTTCCCATTGAAAGTAGGTTTACAGTAAGGAAGCATAATATCACCAAGGTTGTTCACTATTCTCATGGATGGAGTACATTAGGTGAAGAAGTGAAAGCATAAGTACTAAATTGATGAGCATTGTTGGTAAATATGAAAACAACTTATAGATGAAAGTTGAGTTACTGTGGTTGCTTTTCACAGATAATGCAGAAGAAAAATTACAATTATCCATGAATGCATTTGGTAGAGTGTGCACTAGGAAAAAGTTAAAAATTAATATGAATATTAATAGTGACGAAAATAAGTACAGAAAAGATTAATAGATATTAGCTTGGTTAAAGATATAATGAAGCAAGTGAGGTGTTCAGATAACCGGGAGTACAGTAGATGTGTTGGCTATGGGAACAATGGATGATGAAATACAAAGGGAAAGAAAGTAATGGTTGCATTAAAATATGTAGAGAGGAAAGTCTATCAAAGGAAACAGTCGGGCTGCATAGAGCTGACATTATGAGTGAAACGTGGACTCTGGGTGCAATAGAAGGAAGCAGTTAGAAGTGACTATGATGACAACTTGGAGAGCAATATGTGGAATAAATGGGAAGTAAAAATAGGATATTAAAAACTCGGCCACTTGAAATAACCTGTGGCTTAGTAAGACCCAATTTTAATGGAAATGAAGGTTGTGTCCAAAGCTTAAGGTGCAATAACTTTGGGGACTATTAGGACATGTGCGCACATTAACCCCATTCTAATTATATAAGATGTTTAGAGCCCATTGGGCCCCATGCTTACTGGCACATTGAGATTACGGCTGTCTTCACTTTTCATTGAAATTGGTTCTCGTGCCTCCCCCCCTTTTTTTAAATTTAAGACCTGCATAAATAAATTCAGAAAAATTGCAATAGTAACCAGACTGATCATGCATCAACAAATCTAGTCATGGGAAAATTTAGTGGGTTTTATGATCAGGAAACATCCCTATCCCCCCAAAAAATCCATAAATATGCAAATTTTGTGCCTCTCTTTTCACCTAATTAATCTGCTTTAATTGGGGGTTTACCATTCATGAATTGGACTGATGTAAGGGTATGGTAGACGTGATAGACTTGACAAGGGTTTGCCAAGATGGGATGGACACAATGAGAGAATTAAGTGAAGGAATGTGGTAAAGATTCTAATTCAGAATGGATGGTTCGAGTGAGCTGGAAATATAAGGTAAAGGAAGTAGTACCAGAAGCGAAAGGAATAGACATCAAGGAAATAGCGTTGTGTTGGAGGGATAATCTGTCTTTGCTCTTGATTCTGGTCACCTTACAATGTGTGTAAGAGGGGGAACCCTCTTAATACTTGATTTGATATTTGAATTTCTTAACCTTTGTAGAATAAACCTTTTCTGAATCTTTCCTTTTTGAACAAAAGTTTACTGTTGGATAAGTTTGTGTTATTAGAAGGAAAGTGTTTTTCCTGACTCGTGTTCTACCACTAATTTTCCCCAATTAAAATTCACTGTAGCCTAAATTAGTGGTCTGCTTTGCATTTTCAACAACTAGACAATAGTGTACCAGTATAAGTTTTGTTGTTTTGAATAAATTTCTGTATCCTTTCTTGCTCTCCTATTTTTCTGCCTGAAGAACTGTTATTATAAACTATGCTTGCAAGTCTTGTGGCTGCCTATTCACATTTCTGCTAAACAAAAACAATGTTCAAAGTTTGCAGTGTGCTCCCCAACTGTCATAAAATGAAATTTCCAATTATTATCTACCAATCAAATAATGGTCAACCAAGTGTTGAAGCAACTCTTTAACATCATCTTATCAACTTGCCCCCCTTTTTTTTTTTTCTTTCTTTATCATCATCTAGAAAATATTTTCTGGGTAGCTGATATACATTGGCCACTTATCATAATACTGTATACCAGTATTAGTGATAGGGCATATGCAATCTTCGCACGGACATCAAAATGATGGTCTATGCATAGTAAATTGCATAATTGTGATTTGTTTTGATTTCATTGAGTGCAGTTTGCAATTGTCAGTACAGTACTGTATTTCTATTATGTGCTTTGATGAATGAACTCTAGCTATTACTTGTGGTGCTGTGGATATTCAGTCATGACTGCTTGGCTGAGGGCCTCATGATAAATGTTAAAAATGAATATGTCAGGATTCAAAGGTGTTTAAATAATGCCTCAATTAATCTGCACTAGTGAGGCTCAACTTTTGTCATGCGAAGTTATAATGTTGAATCTTGGTCGAGTTTAATGGGGTATTTTAGTATACCAAACTGGTATAATTTTTTCTTTTATATTTTTGTTTCTGAAAATTTTCTCGATGCCTCAGATTAATATTATTTTAATCTGAAACGTGCAGTGATTATATGAAACGGATAACACTGGACCAAGTACACCGCCTTACAACATAGTTTGTCAAGAGATACACATGATTTTGTGACATTGACCATCAAGAACATTTTGTGATCATAAAGTTACCTAACTAGCCATATATTATGTAACCATTGTATTTAACTTTGTCTGTCAAGATAAACACTACCAAACATGAGGATACAGTGATGCAGTATACTTCATTCTCTCACTGTATCTACCTATACCACTACCCAGACATAATTCCAAGCTAGTATTTCTCAACACGATTGTTCCCTCATTGTGTGTGCGGTCCGTCACTCCATCACGTTTGACTTTACATCACAAGACAGGCTAAAGTTCACTGCCAATGACAATCGCCCTTCTTTCGATTATATAAGTCTCATCATACGCTAATAATCCAATCTTGAGGGAATTTTTCTTCCTCCATATTGCAAGACACGGTACAAAGAGGCTCTGAAAATATATAAGCCATTTGTGTCTTGTAAATACTAAAGGAAAACATTAATTTATCTCCCGCTGTGTCCTGTTACCATCTACAACTCGTAACAGATATACTGTACTCCAAAGTGACCTTGATTTTGGTGTGGCAGTATGGCAGAGGTGAAGAAAGATCAAAGGTTTAACCGAGCCTCGTCTGTAACCCTCATACACCCCTTAGTTCAAGTTTACATTGGTGGTGGTGTGAGGGAGGTAGTGATGGTGAAGTTAACTTTATAAAGAATGTATATTCAATGCGGATTATTAATCTCTAATCACCTACACGTTTATAACCTGCGCGCACGTGTGTGTGTGCTCGCTCGTCTTCATAATTAGGCTTATATTGACCCATACTAAGACTGACACCATCACCTGAATCATACAACTAACACGATTTTTGGTGTGAGTTTATCTTTAATAATATTTTGCCAATTTTTTTGTTTTTTAAATGGGTCAAGTGAAAGTACCGGAGAAGGACATAAGACTCGAATTGATAACCCTGAGACTTAGGATTTATCCTCCTAATGGTCGGGAAATTTGGCAAGGTGCCAAGGGGTAAGGCAAGGTATAAACCCTTTCTGAATCAACCTTTGGTAACAAGAAGGTCAGCCAGGACGCTCGCGGTCAATGCTTAATTAACCTGGCATTTCCACTATCAAGAGGTGTTGTATGACCTTAGATCCATGTTGCAATGAGAATCTGATTTGTCTTATTATTTACACGAAACAGCTTAGAATACCATCCCTTTTTTTTCTTTCTCTTTTTTCTTTTTTTTCTCCTAAAAAATCATGTGGTTTCAAAAATGGATTATAAAATGTATAGTCAGTGATTGTTGAAGGACGTGACCCGTTTGTAGATACAGTACCACCATAATACACTAGTCTCGCCTACACCTGCTCTTCACTACACTCAAAGAAAACGCCTCTTAATTATAGGACGACAAAGTCTAGGCTTGAGGAGTTACTTTATGCGAGGGTGTTGTCACATTCTCACCTCTTTTTCACACAGCAAAATATAAAAGAAGATAATACGCTAGAATATATTACAGCAGAATAAAATAGATTATATAAGAGTCATTAACGTTATGGGGAAAATAAACAAGGTGTCTGATATAGTTTGTAGAGTGGACTGGTCACCCATGTTGACATTTTTACCCCAACAAAACAACGTAAGTTTATTTTATCGAATCTGTTCACCCTATTAGCCACAACCCTGGACATACCAACGCACACTTCACCCGAATCGAAAACCTCGAACTTTAGCCACAAAAGGGTATCGCTGTCTCTCGACCTTATTGCCCAGCTCATACACACAGTAGCCCAGTAACTCAACTCTTGGACAGGGTAAGAGAGCACGGGGACGTCTCGTACAGCTGCTCGAGGGTGACCTTACAAACAAAGAAGATTAATTAAAGGTCGTCTGAGACTCCTCTTCCCAGACACACGTCACGTTGAAGGACAGAACATAACAAATAAATTTCTAAAGACATGGTTCATGTGATGAGCAATTAACTGTTACTTCATAATGCAGGTTCACATAATACAGCCGGACAACGCAACACTTGACCTCACTAGCGCCGTCAAGAGTGAAGAGGCTCCGCTGCCTGGTATACCCCGCCCACCACCAACCCACCTTTTACCTGGGCAGCAGTCGAGGCCAGGACGGATGAAGGGCGGCGGGCTTCCCCACTTTCTGTCCTCTTCGCGATGCCAAATACATTTCTACCCAGAACCATCATGCTCACGGGGCATCTGGGTCCTAAAACCTGGAGAAATACATATACTGTGTCCACAATGTAAATATGTGGTGGTTTAATCCTTTTCTAGATGGTGTTTGGAAATGTTGTGTTAGCCCTGGGGGTTGGCGAGGAGGACGTGCCCGAGACTGGGAACCTGTCGATATTGAATGTGAAGTAAAGGGTCAGCCCGGGGTGTGTAGACAGTGTGAGGGTGTACCCTTGTCTCTGGGGGGGAAGGGTAGATGTTATCTCCGAGGGATACAGGAGTAAATGTGGTGGTCCCTCGGTAACACTAAACTTTGGAGAGAAGGTAAACCATATTTCCATGGTCTGTGTAGAGGCGGAGAGTTTATTTATTGTGGGATATGTTTACAACAACGGCAGACAACACACCGCTGCGATAGGTTACGGTGAGAGATAACTTTGGTTGTGTTAGTCAGTTCTTAAAGGAGCAGCAGAAATAACGTAGCACTGGGAAAGCTAGACATTCAAGATTCAGCATATAGATGTACAGAAATTGAATGTACTTTTTATGCAGAAAATGATAACTACTTGTTTTTGTCAGGGATGGAAAAAGACACCAAAACCTGTTCCCGATTCTCAGAGTCATACAATAATTTGTTTTCCTCCCTAACTGTGAACAAGGAAACTTTAAGAATGTGGACCCAGCATATGCACGGCGACCACCGCAGTCACTTGTAAACAAACGCCAAGTTGACATCTTAAATGGTGCAGATTTGGACAAAGTTGATTACTGTACAGTGATCTTATTTTTTTTCGCACGTAAAATTTGATGCTTCTGACCCCCAATAAATATGTTGAATGTTATCAGATTAAAGATAATATTTTGTATGTGGTAAAACAAATAATACAGTATTCCATTGATTTTCTTTATCTAAAATTAGATAAGATAGAATTAGCTTGAACTATCACAGTGGCCGGCATGAAGAAGTAGCTGTGTTGGTGACAGTTTTTTCCTGGTGGTGGGGTGGGCGTGTCGACGGCTGGTGCCTTGTTCAAACAGACAATAATGCAACAAAATGAAGAGGTAAAAAATATCACAGATTGACACGTTTTAATACATTGTATGTCGTGTAAAATACCTATTATGTGTGTCAGTTTCAGCGACACATCACGTTAACCTTAAGTTTAGATGATGAAACTAATAATTCAAGGTTGTAGGCTTAGGTGTAGTGAACCTCAGTGGTGTGTAGAGTGATGGTAAGTACACAGGAATACAACACTACACACTTCACCACCAGTAAAGTTGTAAAAGTAATCCGTGTATGTGTGTGTGCGCGCGCGCCACTAGTAGCGACAACTGAAAGTAAAAGTTGTTTATTCTCCTGCTCACTCACTCATTTGCTGGCTGGTCACTCTAGCCTCTCTGCCACACATCAATAGCTACTCTAATATACAAATTCTCATACATGAGTGAATAAATCAGCGCTGCAGATATTCTAAAGACAATTGGCACAAATTTTCACCAGTCAAGTAGTTTATAAAGTAAACATCTTATACCGACATTGTCTAAGTAAGTTATCTCATTCTGAAATACACTAAACCAAGCCGCTACAAAAACTACAAAATGTCTTCACCGTGAATTGGCTGGGTTGTTGTAGTGCTGCATGGTGATCGTGGCCGTAGTGTTAAGCCAGAACACCTGATCAGTATTTCCTTATCATGATTAGTTGATTGATTTAAGGATTTTCTAGCTCTTGGAATAATAAGGGAATTTGTCTTTCGTTTTCTCTTCCCATTTTCTCTCTTTCTACTTCATACTTTCTTCTTTTTCTGTCACCCCTTTCTCTATTTATCTCTCCCTCCTTTCTCTTTTTTTTCTCTCCCCATTTCTATCTTTTTCTCTCCCTCCTTTCTGTCTTTTTCTTCCTCCTTTCTATCTTTTCCTCTCCCTCCTTTCTCTCTTTTTACCTTAGGGAGAGGGAGGTATGTCCAGACACCTGCCCTCCCCCAGCCATGACCTTCATAGCTTCCCGCCACGCTGGTGTCAGCCTTCAAGGGTATCAACGCCCCTCAGCAATCTCGTGTTTACAAAATTTATACAAGTGATTTTGGTTACGTAATGTGAATACTAGTTTGTTGACTGTTGCGGGAGGAGACAATTAAACATCGGGAATAACATGGTACAGCTTTTTTATTATTATTATTATTATTATTATTATTTTTTTTTTTTTTATGAGATTAGACAGTGTGGGGTGGCATTATTAAATAAGGTTGATTCCCTGAGTTATTCCAATCAACACACACAAAAGTCTCCCCAAAAAAGCATCGTGAAGACTCTGAACACGTCATCCACATATGATTAAACTTAACTGCCACACTTTGTACGTGAAGAGACATAAACAAGTTCAAGTGTAGAGGAAGAGCGTGTAGCTAGACAAGGAGTGATAATGAAAACATAACACAATGGAGAAAGTGTTAAGTTTGGGTACTGTTGATTTAGCACTGTGTTAAGGTGGTGTTAACTAGAGGTGGTGACGTTAGGAGTCGATTGTTACGTACTTACTTATCTTGATTGGGAGGAAGTGGGTAGATGGGTGGGTAGAGGGGGCGTGTGGGGGTGTACGTTTATGATTGTATTAAGAGTATACGCGGAGGTGTAAATTTATACACACACACACACACACACGTTTCCCACAGTTGGAGGTATAACAACACGCCTGGCTAAGCTGGGGAACCAAATGGCGTCAAAATAGCACCAAGAATCAACTGGACGACTATGCGTATATCTAGTCACTGACAGGTGTTTTTGGTTAGGTTAGGTTTGCTTTTGTTTAAGTTAGTTTAGGTTAAGTTAGCTTTAGTTTAGGTGAGGGTGGAATTTCTTCAGGAATATAAGGGACGACTCTCTCTAACTACTGTACTTGGTGTCACTGTTATAGGAAAGAAACAGCTAGGTGAATTATAAGGGATCCGGTTGCCGGTCAGCGAACTGCTTCGTTTCTGCCACTCACTGTGCCAACTCTCGTCCACCTTTCAATGTTTCTCGGTAAAGCGAAGGAGCTGCTGGTGCCATTGAGCCAGTCCCTCAACCCCCCACCACTCACCCACCATCCCACCCCCAACCACCCCAGCACCTGCCTCCCCCTCCTCTTGACGTCACACACTACCCCCTCCACCCTAAGCCGGAAGTTTCATGGTATTGAAAATGAAAGTTTCGAGTGAGGCTCACCTTTTCACCCGGTCCCCCCCACAGACCCCTACTCACTCCGGGACCACCCACCCTACCCAATTTCTCTCACCCCCTTAGTGAGATTAGGTTCCATGACAAAACCCCAACGGGGTTGTCATTTGTCAACACTAACCTAACCTAAACATAAAAGTTTTATTTTATATTTTATATGTGAGACTGGGGTTTTGTTCGTTGGGGTTTTATCCGGTCACCGCTAGATTATGTGTATACAACTATGCGTGTAAGTGTTTTCTGTGTGCACAAGAGCGTGTATGTTTGAGTGTATAAGAACTCCTTAAACTACGAATAAATGTTTATAAAAAATCATCATTTTAACCTAGTTTTTAACGTAGTGTGGTGGACAGTATTAGCAGAAGGAAAGTAACAGTATTACCTAACCATGTACTGTAGCTCCGCGACGCTCCGTGCCCTGCAAGGTAAACATCAACACAATGTCGACTTAAAGAACTCGACACAAAAACCAACATTAGTCACATTTTACCGCTCGTCTAATAGTCAAGCAGCCAACATTATCATCAGTATATCTACATAGTTTACAAGCTTAAAAATGGCAATAAATCAACATTTCCTTGGACGACTTCGTTTAAGAACTCTACAATACCATTAAAAGTCGATTTAGTTTATGTTCCTCTCAGCCTTAAGGGTCTTGTCGCCCTCGCTAACTGTCCTTACACTGTTGGACAAAGAGCCCGAAGAGGGGTGAAAAAGAGTGAAAGGTGTGTGGTGGGTGAGAGCGAGTGAAAGGGGTGGTGAGGAGGGGGCAGGCAGGTATGGGGTAAGAGCGCCAACATCCGCAATATTCTACTTAGAAAACTGTCTTCAAAGGTCACCGTGACTAAGACAGAAAATTATTCCCCGAAAAGAATTTGGGTGAGATAATTTCTCTCTGTTGGGGAGAAAGTTAAAAAAAAAAAATAGAAAAAACACGCAAAGATAAACATGAGATTGAGAAGGCAAAAACACACATAAAGAACTACAAAAACAGAATTGGAAAAATATCCTGACTCAGTCTCAAGATAATGAGAAGATTAGACAGAAGAGCAGGAAAATGTAACGAGGTTAGGTTAGGTTAAGCGTGACTCGTATTGTTCTATATAACTACATACATACAATTTTTTTCAGAAGACAACGATCTACCCACCATGGCGACGTCGACAGAATCAACATGTTATCACCCCAACACTTGACAGCCTCACCCGTGAACCAGTAATACAGTAAAGGTAACTGGTATGTAAATTTAATATTATCTTCCGCGAGTTGTGCATATTAAAGTCAACTCCAAACTCACTCTCTGAAGATGGTTTTTGTGAAGCTGTTATTTTGGCATACAACTCTCCTCAAAAATACTGTGAAATGATACACCCAAACTGTGCCTGTCAGTGTAATGTTGTCTGAGGTAATTGTGAGCACTATCAAAGAGACTCACAACATTGAATGACAGAAGTGTAAATTTCCTTCAGTGTAATTAGTAGTAAAAAAAAATATTGGGTTAGGTTAGGTCGGGTTGGGTTAGGCTATGTCGGGTTGTGTTAGGTTAGGTCGGGTTGGGTTAGGTTAGGTCGGGTTGGGTTAGGCTAGGTCGGGTTAGGTTAGGTTGGGTTAGGTAAGGTTGGGATAGGTTAGGTTAGAAAATCATAACAAGGAGGTGGATACATTGGAAGCTGAGGTGCGTTACTGTACTACACCTGGGCAGAGATTATGTCATAACTCACCTGACTTAAATACACACCTGGAGGAGAGAGGTAGGTGTGGGGGAGAGAGTTAGTTGTGGGGGAGAGAGAGAGGTGGGGAGAGAGAGGTAGGTGTGGGGAGAGAGAGGTAGGTGGGGGAGAGAGAGGTGTGTGGGGAGAGAGATGTAGGTGTGGGGGAGAGAGGTGTGGGGGAGAGATGTAGGTGTGGGGGAGAGAGAGGTAGGTGTGGGGGAGAGAGTTAGGTGTGGGGGAGAGAGATGTAGGTGTGGGGGAGGGAGTTAGGTGTGGTGGAGAGAGACAAGTGTGGGGAAGAGAGTTAGGTGTGGGAGAGAAACAAGTGTGGGGGGAGAGATAAGTGTGGGGCAGGTGAGGATGCCGGAACAAACTGGTTGGACCTCCCACGCCCACAGTCCTTCTCCACCACTCTACCTCTTCCGAGAATCAAGTCAAAGGTAACTAAGAGGAACAGCACTAATGGACCTTGAAGTAATTAGCTCCCTCCAAGAACTCTAAGAACAATTTATTCACCCAGCAAAAGTACACTGATATATTATGTCTATTTTAACTATTCTTGGCGAGACAATATAATTCCATGCAACATAACACCTCATATTATTTACAGAATGGAATACCAAGAAGGAAATCTTAGACAAAGGAAGCTATACGATGATGATCAACGTGTGGTAGAAATATGTATCTGCCTTCCATCAGCGCTATCCAATCACAATGGCCGAAGAGAGTGGTGGTGATGGCGACCTTTGGCAGCTTCTCCAGGTGCGTCTTATTTAAGCTGGACTGCACACTGCTTACATTACCATTCACTCTCAACCCAGCTTCGAAAACCCCCAGAATCTTGTGATATTCAACCAGTCTTCTGACAGAAAACCAGGTAAGCTACTTTACCATTAGCCGATGGAAAGTTTTTAAGGATTTTCTTCGTCTTTGTAATATTAGCTTGCGTAATATGAGCTGTTTTTGTCTTAGTAAACTCTTTTCCCTCCATCATTTATATATATATATATATATATATATATATATATATATATATATATATATATATATATATATATATATATATATATATATATATATATTACATCACATCATAAACAAGAAGTAGTGTGATGAGTTGAGTACTGTACTGCTGGTTAGTTGTGGTGGTGAAAACATGAAAGGGATTTTGTTTTCTTGTATTCTTCTCTCTCTGTATCTGCCCCTTGCCCCCGTCTCTCCATGCTGTCGTGTCCCCTCGGTGACTCTCCTGTATGCATTGCTCCTTCCTCCGCAGTGCCACCCTGCCCCTCCATGCCTCCCCTATCACTCTATACTACCCTTCCTGTACACGCCATCTTCCCTCAACGTTCTTCCTCAGTACGTGTGACTCTTGCCTCTACAACGACCCCCCCCCTCCCCTCCGCCCCTCTAATCCGTGTGTGTTCTTGTATTCTCTTCATTCTTACTCCCCCCACAGCATTCATTGTATCCACTGTCTCTTCCATCCAGTGTTCCTTCTATTCACTGTCTCTTCCATCCAGTGTTCCTTCTATTCACTGTCTCTTCCATCCAGTGTCCCTTCTAGCCATTGTCTCTTCCATCCAGTGCCCCGTCTAGCCACTGCCTCTTCCATCCAGTGCCCCTTCTAGCCACTGTCTCTTCCATCCAGTGTTCCTTCTATTCACTGTCTCTTCCATCCAGTGCCCCTTCTAGCCACTGCCTCTTCCATCCCGTATCCTTTCTATCCAGTGTCCCTTTTATCTACTGCCTCTTTCATCCCGTGTCCCTTCAATCCAGTGTCTCTTCTATCTAGTGTCCATTCTATCCACTGTCTCTTCCATCCAGTGTCCCTTCTATTCACTATCAGTCAGCGTGGGTAGAGTGGTGTCTGGTGATGTTCCTCCTTGTCACTAGGAGAGAAAGTCACTTGTAAAACACATTCTCTACATAACGTGGATCGTTTATTAATATATTACCTAACTGGAGTGCAACGGGCGAGTGGATACAGAACTCCCTTTATATCCCAAGGGTCACTGGTTTGATCCCTGGGCACTTCTAGTCTCAGGTTGGTAAGTCATGGCGGTCGAATGCAGTGTCGACCAGGCAGCCTCCTTGATTAGTATACAGTGTGATATAACCACTGTTCCTTGAGAGAAGTTATGCCTACGGGACCCGCTTTCACTTTCATTACCTCAATACTCTTGTTAGGGAAAGGGATCATATTCCATAAGGTTTGTACAATTAATATTCCTCGTAACAGTAGAGGTAAGAATGTACCTACAGTAAAATGCAACGTTCAAACTCTGTGGAAACGTTGATTAGTACAGCACAGTATATACATAACATTTTTAACCGGTAGTTCAGCAACAGTTGGGTGGTACAGGCCGTAATGCACCACATGGGAGATTATATAAAGGAGAAAACTGTTATCGTTAATGTTTAACTCGTCACTCAGGACCAGCAGACTATCGGAGGGAGGAAAACTGGGAAACTGATATTGATAAGATAACTATAGAGCGGTTTTTAATTTGTGTCTCTTATTGAAATAAGAAATCTATTATATGCGGTAGTATTGTGGGACGTGTGACAGATGTGTACCGGGCTACAACTACCAAAGGTGATGGACACATGGTGGACTTGGGAGGAACATCAGGTGAAACTTATGTGCACCTCATTAACACACTATATAGGCTAAACTCTTCAGCTGTGTTATTACCGGAATGATACATTAGTAACCTTATCTTCCTTGTTTGACAGAAGACAAAATTTGTGTTAAAAGATTCTGGTCCTACGGGGCTGCAGTGCTATAAATGGCATCCCGCAAGGTAGTGTGTTAAGTCCGATGCTATTTTTTTACATACAGTATATCAACGACTTGCTTTCTAATGTAAACTTTCAGCCGAGGTTACCAAAATATCGTGACATATTTAGTCTGACTAAAACCGTAATCACCTTCAAATGGATGCTGACAACCTCTGGCAATGGTGAGACAGATACATGATTACTCCTTTTTCACCCAAATAAGTGATTAGTAATGACAGTTGGCAGGATAGGATATAGAGAAGCCGTATGATGTTTTATCTAAAGACTAAACCATCTAAGTTAAAACACAGTGATGGAAGAAGCCATGGATGTGAGCCAACTGTTGCCTGAAGATCATATAAACAACAAAGTCAACAATGTGTGCCAGATGACGACTGACCCGGGGATCATTTACTCAATCAAACGAAGAAAATTTCAGACGGTTGTACAATTAGCTGATCCAACCACACTTAAGAGTACACAAGGGAGAACGACAAAAGACATCAACTCTAGCCACAGTGCTAAAGAAGAACAAACTTAATACTCTGGCAAAAAAAAACTTGAGCCACGAAGATCAGCTGAGAAAGGCGCCATCAACAGTCTTCTGGGGCATAGGATCGAGACGTACAAGATTACCCTCACAAGGACAATACCAGAGCTGCTGTTCAAGACACATACACAGGTCGATAAGGAAGGCCAACCCACTGAGGGACAAATAGCTTCTTGGAGCCATGGTTGATGGGGGGCTAGTGTAAATGGTTGGAGCTTAATGAATGAGCCACTTATAATACTGTGTCCACTATTACTATTATATTACTACTACTACTTCTACTGCTGCTACTACTACTACTACTATAGGCGCAACAATCACAACACTGGGGAGCCAAGACGTCAGCCCCAGCATCACCTCTACCACCTCTCTCCTTATCCCACCCTTCTTCTTGTGCTGTTTTATTACTTCTGTTCTTTATCTCTCTCCTCCGCTTTCCCATCTCCCAAGCTGTCAACTGGTGGTAATTGTGGTGTTGGTAGTTGTGGTAGTAGTGGTAGTTGTGGTTAGTTTCCACTGCTTTATTGTGTACCATCTGCGTGTGTTTCTACTCCACAAATTATACCACACACCCTTTATTTACATCGTTTTTTTAACTTTACTTTAAGAACTTTTGGTGGTTTCTACGAGTCATTTCCAGATTGTGGTTGAAATGACAGTGGGAAAGTAAATTACAGTAAAGATAATCATTCATTCGTTTCTTGTGTAATATTTTCTTCTTAATGTTTGACACCATTCAACGTATATGAAAGTTTATTTGCTACTTGGTGCTAGTGATGATAATGGTGGTTAATATCGTGGTAGTGGTGGAGCAGGGGATGATAATGGTGGTGGAAGTGGTAGTAATGGTGGGTGGTTGTAGGAGGAGGAGGTGGGGGGAAGGGGTGATGGGTGGAGGAAGGGGAGGAGGAGGGGGTGGGTGGAGAAGAGGGTCGCACCACCACGCGAGTTTCACTTCTGACAGACATTTTCTCCTGCGGGTGAATGTTGGGCGTAGACAGTGAGACGTCTCCCCCCTTGGTCTCCTCCTTCAGGTTGTCTGGATACTACTCCTCGCCCTGGGAGACAAAGGGAGGGTGAAGGTTGGGGGTTATATGGGAGGGTAAGGGTTAGTAGCTGGAGGAAGGGGGGATGGGGGGCATACAAGTGTTAGGAGGTGTTGCGGGTATGTCCTGTGTTACGGTACAAGTAAATCTAGGATGCATGTCTACGCTGTTATGGATGACCGTCTAGCTGAGTACTGTATACACGGTCAGGGTGGAGAGCAGTCAAGTGAGAGTAGAACATTATAGAAAAGAATGTTATCTCCCGTGAAGGAAGTCAACTAAGATTGTTCTGAGAATGTTAATATCAAGAGGCCAGACATGTCACGTCCCTCCAACTCATGTCTTCCTGAACACCTCGGACACCAACACACTGATGCTCTGGAGTTCATGACAAAATATTTGCTTTTCTTTACTAAACCGTACGTAAAGGATTCCTCCTCAAATGACGGATGAGACACACATTCACTTCATCTCATTCATGTTAGTGTCGAATACTGATGAGAATTGATGGACGGCAGCGGGTGGGTGTGTGTGGTGTGCTCACAGGTCACCTCACACTTGACACTTGCCCCACGCAACGCCCCGGCTACACCCCCTTACTTCCCGTGTAAGGCGAAGCGCAAAAGCATTACATCGTCAAAAGGGGACGTGTGCAGAATTCATGCTGGTCTTTTGAGACTTAAATGGTGGGTGAGTGCCTGAGTGACAGTGCCTGACAGGTCACGGCCCGAGGAGGCCACTTTGCTTCATCTCTCAGATTCGTCGCATTCTTGACCTTTCGTTTAGCTGCCACCGCTCCGCTAACCTCTTAAACAAACGAGACAGATGTGTGGCTGACTGCTTGAGGTCGGTCAGCAGATGATTCAGCTGGTGTGGTTGTGTGGTGCTTCGGGTAAAGATTACGAAACCGTAATTGAGGATGCAGACCCCGAGTGTTGTAGTGTGTGAGACACATGATACCGGCAGCTGGCGGGGCACGAAGGGTCGGGGTGTGTAGAGCGAGGAAGTCTTGTGCCCATCATCAATCTCGCCACTATCTCTGTAGTCACCGTTGACCGTTTCACTAACTGTCGTCCAGGTATCTAAAACTACCATTGTCCCCGACGAGATCACAATGTAATTAAATTTGATTAATTCCGTACCTTCCTTCACTGTTTATATATTGTGTTGACAGGTCTGTAGCTCGTCTACTTACTACGATACCTTTAATCTATTGGCTATGACGAAGAGAGAGAGAACAAAGTAAGTGGTGACAGTGGGGATGGCCCATCACCGTCTCCTTTCTATCGTCCAAGGTCAGGCCACTGCTCCTGCCTTCCCCAACTTTCGTCTGACACCAGCCCTTTCATGACTAACACCACATTCCTCCCTGCTGTCGGGAAAGCACGGAAATGACTCTAGTACCCAAACTTAAAATATAACTTTCCATATTGTTTGTATGCGTCACTTAGTTTCATGCTCTTATTGACATTAATTCTATATTAAACTCGAATTGGG